ATTTTTTTCAGAACATATGCGTGACTGTCTTAATATACAATGGTAAAACATTGTAAATTGGTGGTAATGATCTCCTGAATAGTACAGTCTTCTTGGACGATTGGAGTCACGTCATGTTATTGCAGCCCGTTTGCTGTAAAACTTTTACATGCGTCAGGGGATTACGCGTTGCATTGACCGTTGACTCTCCCGTCGAGTTGACATAAACCAACGTTTCCTTTTAGCGAAGGTAACTCTGTGATTTCGTCCGTTATGGAGTTGTTGAGGGAATGTTCCCTTTAAAAAAATCTCTTCATATTCACTGTGTATTCAAAACGGGTTGGGTGGGTGTACGTTTTGTCACAGGCTGTAACAGCGTACTACATCCGAGCATGCTCCTGTAGTTGTCGAAATTTGACAAAGATCATAAAGAAGGTACGGGAATACAAGGTTTTACACGAAGAGGCCCACAACATCTACAAATCAACGCTTTAATTATAGATATAGCCATTTCAAACAGCGGCGCCAACTCACTCTTAAACCAATAACACCATTTTGAATTTCCCTGTGGAAGCAGTGTTTGGAATTATTTTTTGTTTTTCAACGTCTGTTTATAAAAACAAACTACAGCTATCATTCTTTGCAAAGTGAAAACGGTGCAGGAATACATAGCCGAACACATTGGACTTTGTAGGTATAAATGCACTTTGGTCATATTTCGTTTTTGCATCGTTTTTGTGAAATTTAGAATTCCTAAAGGTTTTACACGAAGAGGCCCCACAACAACCTACAAATCAGCAACTACACGAGAAATATTGTGTCTGTGTATACTTGAACCTCGCATGTAATCGGTCCAAATCTATGTGGTTTGGCGCTCGTGAACTTTGGCATTGTTCGCCTGTGCAGCATTATTAGCGATAGCGCGCGTGTATAATCTCCAAGGTCAGTCGGTGAGATGTGCGGGTAGACAGTATCAATATCGGTGGTTATCCCTTGGAAAATAATCAGCATGCAGTGGCCACTTGCAGAGAATTATGAGAGTGAAAGTCACCTCTCTATGTGGGCAGTCAGGCGTGATGATTGCACTTCCTGAAATCGACATCAAAAGAGGAATTCAAGGAGGGACACGTCTTCAGTAATTAACAGTAGGCCAAGCACTTTGAAGCCTTGGATATGTTGTTTCAGGATTGGATGGTAGGTTCTACATTCTTAAAACTAGAAAATGGCAAATTGTGAGTTGGCGGGGACTGTTTTAAGTCCAAGGACAATATCGGGCAGAAACTATAGACTCTCAAACACAAGGACACCTACCTGCATCTCAACACTGGGAACGACATTAAGCGTTGATATCGCATAGTCTGTCAGCCAGACACTGTAGTACAACTTAGGGGTAAAGGTAGTTGAAAACACGGATATACCTGCCTCCGTTCTTATTCAAATATAACTCGTCACAATTTGTCAGTTTTCATATTTAAGCCGAGTGCATAATGACGTTTTGGACAGATCTCTAAACAAGGGACAATTATTTAAATCGTTTTGCAGATTCAATAAATGTTAAAAAGGGAGATTAGCTCCATGAGATGACGAACTAGCAGCATCAGGCATGGCAGTTTGAGAGCATCCCTTCTGCTAAGCAGATGGTCCGTCAATTATGGACCAAATAGTATTCTGACACGCTGATGAAATTGCGTATCGATCCGTGCAGATACCACTCCACTTATATATCAATGGCAAACGGGGCCATGCACACGCCGACACGCTGGTACCTCCGCGCCCTGCGGTGTTCTACCACATTACAGCTATTCAGGCCGATGTGTGCAAGAGATACCCGACTATTAATACATTTGATAAAAAGATGGCTGCTCTCATATAGGTGGGTGATTCGTGAAAACCATGTCTTTTTTTTGAGTGGGCATTTCCTTTATTAAGTTCGACTGTTTCTTATCAAAACACCGGCTTGTGTGCACGCGCGCCGACATTTTTATTTGACATTGTAATATGGTATCAGGTATACATGTACCTAGCGGGATGACGACAGCATTGTGCACTGGCTTAGGTTTGTTTTCGTAAGCACAGACTTCGACAATCATTCCATTAATCAAAATTGTGCGATGTTCAACTTTGCTTGTATCCCGCCTCGCCTATAGTTGGAGTTTAAGCGAGTCATTTTACGATTTTTGTGAGATTGAAATTAAACTCTACTGATAAATATATTGAATCAAGGACCTGCATTTGTATATACATATGCCTGGATTTGAATTGATGACGTAGACACGGCCAAGGCGAGAACACCAAATGGTTCCATGGTCACTAACGTCATATGCTCAATTTAAATTGCACAACTTACACATTACCAAAATATTATTGTGAAAAACTACCCATATTATTTGCATTCGTTTCAACTTATTTCGACTACTTATTCATTGCTTATTTTAAAGTGGTACTAATCAAGACAGGTGTACACTGATATAGCATTCTTTTTACAGTTTGAAAATCGGAGTCGTTCATCTGTGACAGTCAGTAGTTATGATAGATATGTGCATGTCAAACGAGTATAGAAAAACCAAGCGAACCGTTTTCGAGTACTGTACTCGAATTGGTACTTGAGTAATACATGTACTGTATGGTTTCCTATGATTTTTTTCCAGTTAACAATTTTCAAAAACATGGTACAAATATCAATATCAATAATGTATTGGTATATATCAATTACAAATTTGTTCAGATGGCTGTCTTATGCTAAAGCGGAAATCCTGAACCGGGATTCAGTTTAAAACAATATGAGAATGCACATTTGGTATATATAGTCAATGTTTTGTCCAATGCAGGTATAAATCGATAAAAAGAGATAGGGTTTGCCTTGCGATGGGCCTATATCAATTGTGGCCGAAGTTATTAAACGTTCGCCCAAATGGTTTCCACAGTCGGTCACATCTATATTTTTTCGGGCCGTGATCATCTCCATGTCCGGAGAAGTCCATTTCCGTGTGATTATCAAACTCCTGTCACGAAATGTTTCCGTATAAAACCAGGTCCCGAGCCGGATCAGCGAGTCGTGCTAGTAGTATTAGTTGAAGATGGTTCCCCAGGGACATAATATCTCAAATATAGCAGGCCCTGGATTATACATTCATACCACGTGGAATACGCAGTCAAGTGGTTCGCATACTGTCTGAGGTTTTGCATGCATATTAGGCCAAATCGTGAACACACAAAAAAAACTGAAATTATATAAGTGTTATGCTTTCACATGGCTGTCAACCTGCATCAGAATACACTTCCTTTTTTCGTTTTCTTTTTATGAAAATGACCATTTAAAGGGGCAGTACGGCCTGAAATCCCCGAAAATATCATGTTTTTGGATTGTTTACTTATACTATTTCAAAGAAAGGAAACAAACTTAATGTCTTAACGTTCCCAAGAAAAGACGAAAAATCCCAGTTCTTTACATCGGACACGACGTACATTCTGTGGCATACCCATACGTATTTCAAGTCGAGTCTATTCGGTGTACGCTACACACGTTGTGTGTGTGGTACATAATACACACAGCACCAATACACCTATATTGTTTCTTACACGTCCGTCCGCAGAATGCGAACCCCGAAATTCATTTTCGCATGGTTCTCGCAACAATAACGCAAAAACTCCCAGTTTTTAAAGGATGGTTGTGTGGTCGTTTATATTCTACTTATAAATGCTCTTTCTATTTAATACCATTTCGTTTAAAGCGCGTTTTGTAGCGCATCGCCGGCCGTAATATCCCTTAAACATGGAGAAAATAGAGTAGTAACCAACGGAAAGGGATATGTCAGATCTGATGTCTACTCAAGTTATGATGATCGAATAAGCGGACGAGGTGTATGTTTCCTTTGAATGGTAAATCGATTATTTTCTACACATGCTACAGTGAGTCTTTTTGGTTCGTTTACTCGGGTCGTGTTAGTAAGCAATTTTGTAAAATAATGATGACATAAAAGGTACCAACTAAACTAACACAAAAGCTGGCTTTCTCATTAAATTCTTGCGTGTCTCTTTGGGAAACAAAGACTGTCGGCTTATTAACCAATCAGCAGTCATCTGTAAGTGGATCACTTTTGGCTTATGCTGCAATATATTCCGAAACCTTATAGATTTGACATGTAATATAATAAACAAGAGACCTTCGGTATTGACACAAGGTGCAAAGTGTCTAAAATGAGAGCGAAGCTTTCTGTAATTGTGATGATAACCTGGCTCAGAAGTTGACCATGAAGCAAATAATTCCGCGAGTGTGCTCGATGATAAAACGATGATACCAGCATAGGGCTGTAACTAGCTGTATACCGAAGATAATTGATGATTTACGTGTGTCCATCTATTTTACAACAATAGTTCTAAATAATATGTCATTGTTAATAGCATTGACATCACATCGGGTGCAGAATGCCATCAGGTGCACCTCTGTTAATTACTCATTTTGTAAACAATGATAAACATATGGGTTGATGTGATTAATTGTCAAATATTTCCGAGAATTAATACAACTGATGTTAAGTGCACTTCACAAAAGGCTGCGCAAAATAAATGAACAAATTAAAGTAAAATACCGGCACCTCTGACATTATCAGCTTAACCTGAACAATCTTATCACAGCTCATTTAACCCATTTACCACAAGAGCCTGATGGGGGCCGGGAGGTAGTTGGAAATGTGTGACTTTTGTAATGAGGTTCCTCGTCAAACCAGATCACGCATTCCTAACGCGCGTTAGGATTTCGCATCTGGCGATCGATGCTTTAAATAATTACTGCTTTCCCTCGAGTCCCCAGTCAGCTCACCTGCCAAAGGTGGCGACGACACATTCGAGCCCGCCTTGAACTTTTCTTATCAGTGTTTCTTATTCATCAATAAAGGAGCATAAGGGTAAGGAAAGGGCAGCTGTTTTCATGATATACCCGTAGGTCCACTGACAGTCACTGTATCCATGATCTATTGGAGTTTTGTCTAATTATCTGTGCACGCTATTTGTTTCGCATGCAGTGTGTACCAGAAGCGGAAACGGGTGCAGGCGCAGCATCCGGGAACAGCTCGATCGTTGCAGGTGGTGCCACTCTATAACGTAGCATCTGCGGGGAGTTGAAGGATTTTCGTCTGGCGTTTAACCAATACAAGATATCGAGGACGCTAGTATTTCGACTGCTGTGGCTTTCCCGAACGTAACTTGCTTGATAGGTATGTACATTAAGAAGATGAGTTGGATTTTCAAACTTTTTGTCTGTAGGAGCAAAATGGTATTACTTACAGTCTGTGACGCAAACGTGTTTATTATTGTTGCGCATTTGTCACAGCGCAGTGACACATTCCATATTTGTGTAGCCACGGAATCAATAAGCTTGCAACTTTTGACAGGTCAAGTTCATTTACTCAACGCATTTACCTTTTTTTCTCTTTGGTACCTCTCCATCTACGAGTCTACAGCAGCTAATTGTAACATTGTTGTAAATTCTACCTGAAAATATGTACACGATTGATGATATAATGATATTGTACAAAATACCAAATTTTCTTTTTTTTTTAATGTCATTTCTGAGTTAAAAATTAATACCACCTAGAAATAAGAAAGGAGTACCCTGTTACTTTGCTCTTCACCTAGCTAGCTCCGAATAGCGCCGTGCTCAAAATATATCTCAGGGATGATGTCAACGATATACGAGACGGTGTATCTCTTGACGAGTTGGACTTGATAAATGAGCCTAGTGCCAGTCACATGCGCGTCAACGTCAGTATGTCTTAACGACGTGCAGGGCGCAATCAGGTCGCTAGATTAAACGGTGCTTTTGGTAGAAAGTGAGCTGCGTAGATGACGAGGCTTTGCGATCGATGGTTGAGGCCCAACCGGCTGGCATTCCAACACTCTGAACCGGTTAATAATCAACTCACACGGCGCGCTATCTTCACCGCTTTGCCGTTCCTGGCCGTCGGGACCTGCCATTTGTTTTCCTAGCACTGGCGGCATTCGTATAATATGACTTGTAGAGTGGTACTCCTCGAACAGCCAGCTCTCTTATCAATCAGTAGCCGCAGTGGAAATTTAATTTGAATGTCATTCCGGATAGCGATCTCCATGTGGCAACAGGCTGCAGGTACATGCATGGGAATTGGAACACCAATCATGCGCGACTTCATGTCTTTACATTTCACTCCCCCCCCCCCAAAAAAAAGGGAAAAAATGATATATGTATACATATACATACATGTACTTCACCAACATCACAACGTCTAAATATGGATGAAGGGTATAGTTCTCTACTCTGAACTGTACAAAAGCATACATTTTAAACAAATCAAGTGCGAGCAAAACAGTCGCCCGCAATTTCCTTTGCATAATCTGAGAATCAACACTTATGTTTGACCATGGAGGAAAGAACACATATCTCCGCAACTATACCTTGCCAAGCTTTAAACACTGCGTTGAAGCATTAATGCTATTTGAATTCGTTCCAACCACATTGTACATTAATTGAAATCTACGAATCTAATGCCAATCACTCTCAAATGTTGGTGAATTCATGGAAGTTTTCGATTAACCAGAACCAGCATACATGATAGTTTACATCACTGCGTTATGGACGGGATGGATTGTAACTATAAATCAGACGACAGTTTATCAAAGCTCTGCTTTCAGCCTCGTATATCGTCTTTCTGTTTTAAATACACAAATCAGTTCACACAAATTGATCAGACTACATGCTGATGTGATACCGTCACTGTACTGTGAGGCATCACCTCCTGAGCTGGCCTCACATCTTATCCGAATCACAAAAAAAGAATTAGGTAATACGTAATTAGGTACCTATATACAGGGTGGTGCAAAAAGAAGGAAACCCACTTTTGACAGCAAATTTCACCTACTTGTTGAGCATATTTCAAAATATTCAACTGAATGGTATATTAAAATATTGATCTTTAAACATAGTGATTGCAAATGCATATTTTGTCTCTGAGATATGGTAGTTTAAAAATGTCAAGTGCCAAACTTGTTTGTCCACGGACGGCTTTATTCTATCCGCTTGACTGAGCTCCGGAGCTTGATTTGAAGACAAAAAACACTACAGTAGACTTACACGTGGACAACAGTGATTTTGGTGACTTGTATTCAAATTAGCATAATAACACTATTCTTGCGATTTTTTTAAAGATTTTTTTCACCACGTATGGTGGAATAGCTTTACTTCACTACATTATAATAAACAGTTCAAATAAGTTAAGTAAGTAGGTTAAAATTCCTGTCAAAAGTGGGGTTCCTCTTTTTGCACCACCCTGTATATTACAGGTTATGGGCTTTGGCGGTGTTGCCAAACACCCATTGATTCTGAGTAATAGGCTTTCTCAATGTTGGTAATGTAATCTGTAAATTCTAATATAGTTTAAATGCTGTAATCCTTATTCTCATTTAATATTTCATCAGTCGTTATGGTTGTTGTATTCGCTGTCAGTGATTGAAGAGTTACATACATTGTATAAATTAAATACTCTAAGATTATCTGGGGGGGGGGGGTTTGGGGGGGGTTTTTGTTTTTTTACAGAATTTCATTTTCGTGTATTATTAATCATGCCTGTTTCCGAGGGCAAAATGAATTTTTAATCTGAAGGTAAACTCCAAGACTGAATTTAAACTCGTGACCGACATAAAAGTTTTATTTATTTTCATCAGGTTTTGTAAAAAGCCTCCACGGACGATGATCAATGCATCGCATTGCATGCTAATCGCGGTACCCGGAGAGCGTCAGATTTCGACGAGTGAAGATGTTCGTCATTAAGGCGCCGACTTTCCCCGCCAAACCTTTCACACAGAATCTAAGGATTTGTGTCCTTACATTCTGTGTGTCGGGAGGAAATTAATTTGGTTTGCAGTAGGATTCAGTGCTGACATGACGGCAGCAATGCTTGGGGGCCTTGGAGTTCGAATAAAAAATACGCAGAGGAAACGTGTCAACTCTTTAAAAAAAAAACTCCTTTGAAAAAGAGGTCCATTGCTCCAATTCACTGTGTACAGGGTGAGTAAAAAAAAAATGGAACCCAAATGTCGGGACCATTGTTTTAGTGAAGTTCTACATGTAGCACTTTCAAAATATAGGATATGAACGCCCAGTTCATAAGCTTTCTTTTAGTACAAGAATCATTCAAATCACTCATGTACTTTTCAAGTTACGGAATTTTAAACACAACCACCGTTTTAAAGTTCTGTCCACGGATCACCAAATAGGTGTGCGTTCTTTCAGCAAAACGAAAACAATTCACCCACATTCCTATGTGATTTGTATTCGTTTTGCTGAAAGAACAGTTACCTTTTGGTGATCCGTGGACAGAACTTTAAAACGGTGGTTGTGTTTAAAATTTCGTAACTTGAAAATTGCATGAGTGATTTGAATGATTATTGTACTAAAGGAAAGCTTATGAATTTGGCTTTCGTATCCTAGATTTTGAAAGCGCTACATGCAGAACTTCACTAAAACAACGGCCCCGACATTTGCGTTTCGTTTTTGTTTTTTTTTTACTCACCCTGTAAAGTGAGACTGGAGCCAACAGAAGATGTGCAGTATAACCATAGAGCTAGGAGCTCTATGGTATAGCAGACTGATTTGTATTACCTTTCAACCCTCACGAACTTCTGTCGCTTTGATACGAATGCCTTGTATTCATTCGATTCAGCGGATAGTATATTTTCTAGGCTTAACGACTGTCGTTAAAAGGGACATTGCGTTCTGCAAATGCGCCCAATTGGGCTTCAAAACGCGTTTTAAACGAAGTGATGTTATATTGATAAGAGTATTTAAAATTAGGATATAAACATCCACACAACCATCCTTTAAAACGGGGCAATTTTTGTGTTATGCTTGCAATGGCGTGCGAGAACGTCTTTTGGGGTCAAAATTTTGACTCCAAAATGGGAGCTGTTTGGAGCTAGTCGTGATTCTAGTTGCACACATTCCTTTTCTCATAAAAAGGTTTCCCCAAACCGCGTGTGTGTGTTTATCTGTTGAGTGAATATATTGACTTAGTTTGGTGAAAATCCACCACTAATGTTTTAGATTAATCAAATTACCACAGCCTTTTCTGGTACCAGTCTACATGCTGCCACCGCGCCGAGATAGAGCCCATAATTACATGGAGAGTTACGGCTGGAAATACGTATACATATATGCCACAAAATGTCCGCTACGTCGCATGTAAACAACCGGGTTTTTCTTTTCTCTCGAGAACGGTAAGACATTAGGTTGTTTCCTTTCAATCAAACGTTTGAAATAGGATAAGTCAACGATCCAAACATAAAACTTTCGGGGATTTCAGGCCGTATTGCTCCTTTAATATAATACGAGGACGGTTTGGCAAAAAAGTGATTAGGACGTCTGGTTAAATTTCCTACTGATCACGCAATAAGTACATGTAGATAAATATGCATTTACCTGATCTGAAGAAGTTATCCTTTTTGAGTTTCTAGAAATATTATGTGCAATGGGACATGCCTTCAAATACAGGTCGCAAGTAATTACGGCCGATGAGATATCTCGAGTGCACAAAAAAATGAGCGATATACATGTACATGTATGACGCAGTGATGTATGTGCTTGGCTGCTTGCTCTATACTTGGAGAGGACCATTCACTTTTAAAATGAGATTTCTACCTTAGGGCACCATTGTGAGTCGGCAACCAGAGCCCCTGAATCTTGACGGTCGATTTGAGCAGTCGTCCCCTGTGCTAATTAAACCTAGTTCCCTATGTCCTGCTTTGAATTTCGAATGTAAGGGAACATCTATAAACACGCGGTAATTGAGACCCGGTTTGTGAATCCAGATTACATCGTGGCCCGCGGGGTTTGGTGACGTCATACTGTCTAGTGACGTCAGCCGATATTTGGCGGGAAAGAAGAGTGGACAGCGGTAGTGCTGTCTCATCTCGCCGGGATGCTGCATAATTCAAGTTCTTATGTTAGCCCTTCGTTCTGAGGTTTACCAACCGTATGCATGACACAAACCCAGCATAATATTATAAACGCCGAGTCTGCATAATTTAGTAATTGAAAGCGCTACTACGGATGCACTCTAGATCTTGCGGTGTGCTCTGTGAAATTACTTCGATAACAAAAACTATTTTTATCCCCCAGGTATCTTAATTGTCACTTTTGCTGCTTCATGTTTTTAAAAGAACTATCATATCAAGCAGGCATAGG